ATGTTCGATATACTATGGTAGAGAGGCTTCATCGTTCCTTAAGCACTCCATTTTTTTTTCTCGGCTCATGCTTTGTCAATTCTTTGAGGTACTTTCTTTTTCTGAGGAACTAGAGAGACTTAACATCACTTAATCTTGATCATGACATCTATTTTCTCCCTCTTTTATTTCTCCATTCTTTGTATCAGTACTTTTCTTTGAATCCCTTCAACTCCTTCCACTTATTCACTTTCTTTTGAATTTTTCTTTTTGTTTTTTTCCCTTTTTTCCCTTTCATTCTCATCATTTCTTTTCTCTTTTTGTGTCTTGATACCTCTTTCAAGTTCCTCGACCTCTCTCAAACTTACGTTTTTAGCCAATTATCTCACAAGAGTATTAAGGAAAGCTCAGGTGCCAAGAGAGGGTCACGACAAAATAGGTAAAGGCCTGTAACATGGTTATCAAATGAGAAAGGCTCGAGGCTCAAATGGGTTGACTAGGGATAACAACATTAGTGGGCAATGGGAAATTCAGCCAGGTCAAGGAAGGCCTAAAAATCACTTCTCAAGCCAAGCAAAACTTAAAATTTTGCCTTGAATCACATTCGGGGCAAGTTTTAGAACTTTCGCAAAGGTACTTGGACTTGCAAGAAAACAACTCACCCCTCACGCAACTGGATAGTTAAAGATGATAGAGTCGAGGGCCACAATGACCACATTCAATATTGAAAATCACTATGGTTCTATTAAACCACTCGATGATTGCCTAAGTCAACACAAGAGTCACAAAGTCACTAACTAGAGCTATTTTTTTCCAAAACCTTGTTTTTAACCATAAGCACGTAGTTAAGTGTGTTGGTACTTGGTACCAAGTGAAGCATGTTTGACTCTTCGAGCATGACTTAATTAGGTCTTTTTATTCATTACTACTACTATTATTACCTAAACACCAAAAACGGACTCAATGCCTTAAGAAGGTTGTCACGTCATCCATCGTTGGGAAGAGTCACCCAGTTCACACAAAACTACCTTTGGGAAGAACCGTGGCATTAAGAAAACCAAAGGCTTATTATCTACTAAGACATTAAAAGAAGCTACTAAATAAAAAACAAGCTACTAATTCGAAAGAAGCTACTAAATAGAGAAGAAGCTACTAACTTAAACACTAACTAGTAAGAGAAACAAACATAAAGAAGCTACAAGCAAAAACTACCGAAAGCAATATGAATATACATAATGAGAGAAGATATATACATAATGAGAGAAGAAAAGAGAGAATATATATAAAATAAGGAAAAAGAAGAAAATACCGTCAGTTATTACAAACCAATTGTCTTAGAATCATTAAAGTAGATCAAATAAACTCCACCCCCACCCCAATAAAATATGCATTGTCCCCAATTCTTAACAAAATAAGAGTAAAGGAAGGGTAAGAGTAAAGAAAACTCCCTATGGCTCTTTGGCCATCTCTATGTCCACAACAGCGTCACCGACCTCACTCGCATCCAATTTGATATTATCATCCTCAACTCCGGGAGTGACTGGGTTAGTGAACATCTGACGTACTGCCTCGCCGGTGTCACCAGCAAGGTCTGGCTCCTCAGACTGGCCAGCTAGTGCTGTATGTGCTATAGGATCTGGGCCGGGATGGTACGGGTCAACCAGCATGTCAAAGGGATTTTCTCTGAGTGTTGTAGGCTTAGTACCCTGTCTCCGGATCTTATCCACTGACTTCTTGGAGGCCTGGGACTTCCGCATCTTCTTCACTTCCTTGCTCATCTCTTCTATCACTGACCCATGTTGCACCAAAGTAGCCATGATTGTGTTCTGATTCTCCAAGAACATCTTCAGAGTTTCTTCAACTATTGGGGGTATCTGAGGTGCCGGAATCGAGTACTGTGCTGCAACAGTACTGGATATGTCAGACAGCTTTGCAATAGATATCTGCATCCGGTTGTTGAGGCTCATCATTGTTTGTGAGACTCGCAGCACAGATAGTGGAGCAGTGGGCATCTGCACTGGCTTCAAAGCCGAGGTGGAACCTGTAATAGGGGCTGCTGAAGGCACTGAGGTTGGAGGTGGAGGCATAGCTGCAGCACTAGATGAAGGCTTCTCTAAATATTCAGTGGGCTCTACATCATCAAATACCAAGTAGGTGTTCAATGTGTGCTTGTCCAAACGCACCTTGAAGTTCCTCACTTTAGTTGCCTTTGTCCCTTTATTAATGTGCGCCAAACTCCTAGACAAGGTATTCCTTTGCATCTACCATGCCCTGGGTGAACCACATCCATCCCTTGCGCTCTCGGAACTTCCTGAAGACTAGAGGGTTGTAATTTTCTTGATCTTTCAATTGGAACAGTCGCTACAGAGTGAGTGACCTCACTGGCCACCACTCAGAGAAGCTAGAGAAGGCAGCCAAACTGACGAACCTGTCCTCCCAAACCTCTTTCTTCTTCGACTGCTCAAGGCCCGCTATTGTAGCATCTCCCCCTTGGCCATCATTTGTGAAGTCCTGAACTGATGTCTCTAGTGCCTGGGGGACAGGTGTAGTGGAGGGATCAGAAGCCTTACTGACATTCTCCGAACCCTCGGAGGTGCTATGTGATAATGATGGCTTGTCTCTGAGCTGATATCTCTTTGGTGGCCTTGATTGGACGGCTGGATGCTCATGTATTGAGGCTGAGTTTCCCTCAGAGACATCCCTAGACGGGACATAAGAACTGGTCTCTGAGAGGTCTGCACCTCTCCCTCTACTGGTTGTTGTCTTCTTTCTGCTTTCAGGTTGTTGGGCACTAGGCAAGGGTCTCTTCTCTCGTCCCCGAGAAGGGTCACCCCTTCCTTTTGAAGTGTAACCTCGTCCTCTAGATCGAACCATGTTCTATATGAAGCAAAGGCGATTGTTAGTTGCAATTCAAGTTCAGAGAGAGAATGAATGCAAGGACACACCAGAGATTACAGTGAAAAGCACATTGGAAACATTCTTGTAGGGTAGGGAATTGCGGCCCGCAAAATTATCATTACGACCGAAGAATGGGCATTGCAGACCACACAATTCTCCATTAAGGTCGCAGAAGCGGATTGCAGTCCGCATATTTCTCACTGAGGCCGCAACTTAGACTTCACCAATATGCCAACTCTCTGATGATAGAGAATTGGTTGTTTTGCAGCCGCAACTAGTTTTTTGCGGTTCGCACAATTTGCTTTGCGGTCGCAGTTGAGAGTCACCAAATGACAACTTTTGTTCTTCGACCCCAATGGGATTTCTGCGGTCCACAATTTTCACTGTTGCCGCAGAACCATGCTTTAATATAGTGCCCTAGACCTTAACTGTTGCGGACCACACAATTTTTTATGCGGTTGCAGATTCCAAAATTTACGAACAGACGGTCAGTTTTCACCTAAGGCTTGACATTTTTACACACTTTTCACATGGAAGCAACATCTAAGCATGATAATCAATTCATTCATTCCCCTTAGAGCATTTACTAGTATATCCACTACATATTTACCCCACATGGTTGTTCAAATAGATTCAATCAAACAAATGGTCCAAAATTTTACTAAAAATCTAATAATTAAAAGAAGTTAATCATGATGATGATGCATACCAGGTATGAATTAGGGCAAGAGATGAGTGATAAATAATTGTTAGGCTTGTGAGCAGCTAATTTAACAAGAAATTTCAAATTGTGCACTTTGTGAGCTCAGAGAGGGAAAAAGGGGAACAATGCCCAGCCTCTTCTATTTATAGTGAATGATGTCCGACAAGTGAAGGGAAGGTGAGTGAAGCCACAAAATTCCTATTGTGGACCGCACTTTATTACCTGGGGGCCTCAGATGCTCTTTTGTTTTGCAGTCAGTATAATTTGTTGTGCGGCCACAGATTCAATTGTGGTCCACATAATTTGGGTTACGGTCGCGGATTGGCCATTTCTCTGATGGACCAACTTCAGAAAGTTGGCATTTTCCACCTTCAACTTGTGCGGTCCGTAATGTATTTGTGCGGCCGCAGATCACCTTTTCTTGTAGAACTATAATCGTGCGGTCTACACAATACAATTGCGGTCCGCAATTCTTTCCATACTTAACCAAATGGCTGGGTACACTTCCTGTAATCTTGACAATCCTGTTTGTGCTTCTTCCTTTGATTTGAAGAGAACTCATCCGGGATGATTTCACACACAAGGAAGTTTGCTAGATCCACAAACCATGGCACCTCCTTCACTGAAATATCCAGGAGTTGCTCATCGGGGAAGGAGTCATTGATTTCAAGGCCATCATGCGGCCTACCCTCTTCCTCCAAACGAGACAAGTGGTCCGCCAATTGAGTTTCTTTCCCTTTTCTATCTTGGATGTCAATATCAAACTCTTGACATCAACCGAGCTTTTGAATCTTTCTTGCTCATAAGATAGAGAAGTGCCGCATGATCCGTATGAAGAATAACCTTTTCACCCATCAAGTACGGGTGGAACTTCTCAATTGCAAAAATAATGGCAAGGAGCTCTTTCTCCGTATGGTGTAGTTAACTTGGGCACCGTTCATGGTCTTAATAGCATAGTATACCGGATGAAAAATCTTGTTGATGTGTTTCCCCAAAACAGACTCAACCGCTACATCACTAGCATTGCACATGATCTCAAAAGGGATACTCCAATTAGGAGCGGTGATGATGGGAGTGGTTTTCAACTTGAACTTTAGCAATTCAAAAGCTCTCATGCAATCATCATTGAAATGAAAATTTGCATCTTTCTCTAAGAGCTTGCACAACGGTTTCACCACTTCAGATAAATCCTTTATGAAGCGCCGGTAAAACCCCACGTGACCTAAGAAACTTCGCACGGCTTTCACCGATGTTGGAGGTGGATGTTTAGAAATCACCTCTATCTTTTCCTTGTCGACCTCTATGCCATTCTTTGAAATCTTGTGGCCAAGGACAATTCCTTCCTCGACCATGAAATGATAGTTCTCCCAATTTAGCACCAAGATAGTTTCTTCACACCTTGCCAATACCTTATTGAAATTCACAAGCGATCATTAAAAGAATCCCCGACCACCGAGAAGTCATCCATGAAGACTTTAAGGTAGTCCTCTACCATGTCCGTAAAGATCACCATCATACACCATTGAAAATGCGCCGGTGCATTACATAAACCAAATGGCATCCGCTTGAAAGCCAAAGTACTATAGGGACATGTAAAAGTTGTTTTCTCTTGATCCTCCAGAGCAATAAGGATTTGGTTGTATCCCGAATATCCATCTAGAAAGCAATAGAAAGCACGGCCGGCCAACCTATCAGGCATTTGGTCAAGGAGTGGAAGTGGAAAATTATCCTTCCTCATAACTCTGTTTAGCTTAAAATAGTCCATACACACTCTCCACCTGGTCACGGTTCTTGTGGGAATTAACTCGTTCTTGTCATTAGTGACCACTATCATGCCCCCTTCTTTGGGACACTTTGCACTGGAGAAGTCCACGAACTATCGAAAATGGGGTAATAACCCCGGCATCCAACTACTTGATAATCTCCTTTTTGACGTCTTGCATAGCTTCATTGAGTCTCTTTTGATGTTTAATGGATGGTTTGGAATCTTCCTCCAAGTTAATCTTGTGCATGCAAAATGCGGGGCTTATTCCCCGAATATCCGCCAAAGTCCACCCAATAGCCTTCTTCCTCTTGTGGAGCACCGCCAATGTAGAGTCAACCTGCACGTTAGTTAAACAAGAGGAAAGAATAACCAGTAAAGTAGAACAAAGGCCAAGAAATTCATACCAAAGATGTGGAGGCAATGGCTTCAACTCCAAGGTAGAAGGCTCTTCAATTGAAGGCTTTGTAGGAGGAGTTTTCCTATTCTTAAGATCCAAGGAAAGTTTCCGAGGTGCATAGTTGTACGACCCTATTCCTTGCAAAGAGTTCACACATTCCATGAAGCTATCCATCTCGTCATCATCAAAGTTGAGCAAGACGGCCTCCAAAATATCACCCACATTAATCGTGGCACTTATATTATCAATAATCACATTAGTCACCAAGTCCATGAAAGAGCACACTTTATTTCTATTTGGTTGCCGCATAGATTTGCACACGTGGAATACCACCTTTTCATCACCCACACGGAAGGTGAGTTCTCCGGCTTCCACATCAACAAGAGCCTTCCCCGTAGCAAGGAAAGGTCTTCAAGAATAATCGTCACCTTATAGTCCACTTCACAATAAAAAATAACGAAATTCGCCGGAAGAATGAACTTATCAACGTGAACCAATACATCTTCAATCACTCCCAACGGTCTCTTCATGGTAAGATCGACCATTTGTAATCTCATAGATGTGGGTCTTGGTTGCCCAATTACCAAAGTCTTGAAGACCAAATATGGTCTTCTGCGGTCCGCATCTTTACTTCTGCGACCGCAAGGCACTTCTTTTATGGCCGCACAATTCTTGTACGGTCCGCAATCTTGAGGGAATTGGACTATGGAAATTTGCACACCCTCTGAATTTAATCTCTAGTTCTTCATTTGCAGCCACACAATTCCTGTGTGGTCCGCAGTTTGTTAGGAAACCTGTTAGGATTTTCTTTGTTGTTTGCGGCCGTATATGGAATATGCGGTAGGCACTTTGCAAGCTCTTATGCCGTCTCTTGCCTTGTGTTTTGATTACTCCTTTTTTATTCGGATTTCATCTTGGAAGTCCAACTTCAGACATTCCTATAATTTTGCACATTTCATCAGTTTCGGGAACACAATTAAACGCTTTTAGACTAAAATAAAAGTTAAAAGGTGCTAATATATAGGCAAAATTCCCATTTATCAAAGCTCTTAAACATACCACAGACTGAGTTGAATTTTTTGCATATCCAGTTGCGTGCCAAGGATGAGAATGAAGTTCTTACATCCATCCCCCAAGAAGAAGAGATCAGAGAAGCAGTGTTCAATATGAGCGCCTCTAGCGCAGCTGGTGTAACACCCCGTAAATTCGGCTTAGGTATGAATGAGTTAAAGGAGTAGTAAGGTTATATTTTGGACATGTGAAATCCCATCAGGATTATTATGGGTAAAATAGTAGTTTCAAAATCAAGATGGAAAGTGAGATGCATAAGATTTGATAAAATCGACTAAGTTTGCAGAAGGTCTGTCTTCCAAAAGAGTTTAGTGAAAATCTGTAAGGAATTTGGGAAAATACAAAGCATGAAAGTTGTAGACCATTGAAATAGCTTTCCAACGATATATTATGGAGCCTGAACGGATCTCTGTGCAAAATGTTATGTGCGTTTTACAGATTAGTATGCGATATGCGCGCTCTGAGCGCGCCCCTAGCGCGGCCGCGCTTCTTTTGAGGCAGTGTTACTGCCGTTTTGCGCGGTCAGTAGCGCGGTCAGGTCTACAGGTGCGCGGGCGCGCTCGTGGGGGTCATTTTAAAGCCCTACTTCGTCCCCCACTGCTCCAAAACATAAAAACTTGCTCTAGAAAGAGGAACTCTCAAAAACCTAACTCCTTAAGGGTCCTTCCACCACCCAAGGTAAGTTTTAATGGTGATTCTAAGTTAATTTCAATTTCCCAACATCTTATTAACATGGGTAAACCCTCCATATCATTAGATATTCGATTGGGACATCATTATTGAGAGAAGGAAGCCTAGAATTCGAATTCAAAGGGTTTGAACTTCAAAAAGGTAATGTCTTCACCCTCTAATTGATTCTAGCATTGGTTTAATGATTTTAAACCCTAGTTCATGAGATATGAGTTGATGGGTTTGATATAAAAGCATGAACGATTATAGGTTTGGGGCGTTGATTGTTGATTATTAGTTAAGGGTGTTGTTTACTTTATGGGCGATAAAGAATAATGTTGATTATAACCATTTGAGACTTTAGAATTTATCTAGGAACAAGAGAATGTGTTATTGGGTGTAGAGACACCATTAATAAGGACTATGAAGCTTTATTATCACCAAGTGTTTGATAAGATACTTAAGTGACCAAAATATGAGCATCATAGCTAATATGGAATCCCTTTGACTTGTATTGCTATAGATTAAAGTTGAAAGGGTTGACAAACGTTGTATTACGCTCTAGAGCAGGAAGTTAAGGTATGTGAGGCTAACTCTCTATGTTTGGGAATTTTATCGATTCTCCCTACACTACGTTTCTTTTACGACGTTACTAATTGCCTCAGAAATATAGTTTAGCCTAGTTCCTTGAATAGTTGTAGAACTTCTATTTTTTAGCTTCATAACTCGTTCACGACTTTCGTTCTGAACGTTGTGAGCTCAGCATGTATTCAATATAGACTTGGGTTTGATGCCCCCGAGTCTTAGTATAGATTACTCAGTATGCCATAAACAGTTGAAGTTTCAGTGTTCATAATCAATTCAAGGATACATGTCTCAGTCTAGTCCTATTCAGTATTCCAGTATCATGTAACTCAGTGTGATTTAGTATTTCACTATTATGTATTGCAGTATGATTCATAGTTCCCGATCTTTAAATCCCGAATATTGAACACCTGTATTTGGGCCTAAGGCCGCAGTTTATGCTTTATGCATCTTTGGGCCTGAGGCTGCAGTTTATGCTTTGTGCATCTTTGGTCCTGAGGCCGTAGTTATCTATATATATACTTGGGCCCGAGGCCGCAGTTGTGCGCACACACACACACACACACACACACACATATATATATATTTATATATATATATATATATATTGGGCCTGAGGCAGCAGTTTATTTATTCAGGCAAACAGGTGGTTCATTATTCAGAAGAGGGAGTATTCATATCCTTACTTCCTTTGTTCAGTTCAGTATCAGTTATCCTTTCAGTTACCAGTTATCAGTTCAGTTATCAGTTATCAGTTCAGATATCAGTTCTTATTTCAGTTATCAGTTATCAACTATCAGTTATCGCTTCAGTTTCTGTTTCAATAGTTATCATTTCAGTACCAATTATCAATTCTCAGTTATCAGCTTAGTTTCAGTTTTAACATTTATAATTCTTTCTTTCAGTTGCTTTACATTCCAGTGCAATTCAAATGTACTGACGTCCCTTTTGCCCGGGGCCTACATCTCGCGATGTAGGTAATGATTTACAGGTTGACAATTCAGAGCGCGAGGATTCTCGTACCAGCTATTTAGTGATCCCAGTTCTTTCAGGACATTATCATTACCTTACAGTCTTTAGTATTTCAGACAGTCAGTGTTTTCAGTATTTCATTAGAGGCTTCATAGACTAGAGTAACAGTTAGACAGAGTCTCAGGCTTTTCATGTTAAGCTATATTGGCTGCAAATATGTTTCAGAATTATATTAGTATTTCTGCACTTTGATTTATATCATCCTGACTTTTAGTATATCAGCATGTGTTAGTTTATCTTCCACATTCAGTATGTTATGATATCACATGTTGATTCAGCTAGCCAGTTGGTTCGCTCGGTCACATGTAGTCAGGCACCGAGTGCCGTTTACGTCCAGGCCTAGGTTCGGGGCGTGAGAAAGCTTGGTATCAGAGCCCTAGGTTCAAGTGTCCTAGGGAGTCTATGAAGCCGTGTCTAGTGGAATTTCCTTTATATGTGTGTGTCGGCCACTCATATAAACTGTTAACTACCAAGACATCCAGGATTGTCTCATTTCTTTCTACTCCAGATCATGCCATGAAACTTAGAGCAATAGGTAATCTTCTCTTCCTATCGAATTCCAAACGTATTGGATGCCCAAGCGACGCGCAGGAGAAACCTATGGTCCTAGAGGGGATAACTGCTCATTGGGGTATAATTATGGAGTACAGGTTAGTAAATATGAGACTTGAGAGGATGTTAAAGTGGGATGCAATGGATAGTAGTACAGATTCGAGCATAAGCTTATCAGAAAGTACAAAAGCAGTTATGATGTCTTATGGTTATCAGTTTACCTCAGTTACCCATTATACAGTCTTTCGGTTAGCAAGTTTATGGTTATTCAGGATACCACTTATCAGTTGTTCAGTTGCCAGATCTTCAATTTTCAGTGTATCAAAATTCTGATGACTGGTGAGTATACAGTAATACCTATGGGTGCTAAAAGAAAATGCAAGTAACAGTGATTGTAGCAAAATCTTCACATATTTTAGGTCTGGATTAAGACCAAGACTCACCGGATGGCACAAGAAGTGATTTATCAGATGATGGTATACTTTGAAGGATAAGTTTATACATGGTAGTGTACTCGTATGTGTTTTACCTCCTAGAACAACTTCATTTAATTTTTGGAAATGGAGCCACAAGTTGGATGATGATAGTTCAGATGTCAGACCCTAACATTGGTCACTATAGTTTGGACAGAAAAGAGCCTAAGGGTAAAATACCTAGGAGTAAAAGA